CGGATAAAGCAGGGTCAAATGAAAGGGGAGGAGGTCCTCCCCTATCAGTGGACTTGGAAAGGGGCAGGGAGGAGATCAGGGAGGGAGTTGGGGAAGGGGAGGGAATGAGGGAGAGGTATACAGCTGGGACACAGAGTTAACAAATTGTAACTAAAAAGAAAAAGAAAAAAAAAAAGAAAGAAGGGGGAGATAGAATGACCTGGAGGGGACAGGAGCTCCACAAGGAGAGCAACAGAACCAAAAAATCTGGGTCCAGGGGTCTTGGCAAAGACCAATACTCCAACCAAGGACCATGCATGGAGATAACCTAGATCCCCTGCTTAGATGCAGCCCATGACAGCTCAGCCTCCAAGTGGGTTCCCTAGTAAGGGGAACAGGTGCTGTCTCTGACATGAACTCAGTGGCTTTCTCTTTGATCACCTCCCCCTGAGGGGGGAACAGCCTTATTAGGCCATGGAGGAAGACAATGCAGGTAGTCCTGATGATACATGATAGGCTAAGGTCAGATGGAAGGGGAGAAGGACCTCCCCTATCAGTGGACTGGGAGAGGAGCATGGGAGGAGAAGGAGGAGGAAGGGTAGGATTGGTATAGGACAATGGAGGTGGCTACAGCTGGGATACAAAGTGAATAAATTGTAATAATAAAAAAATAAATATATATGTAAAAAAAAAAAGGATTGGCTTCTTTGTTTTCCTCTGTGGACTGGTAAGGCTGTTCCCCCCTCAAGTGGAGGTGATCAAAGAGCCAGCCCATGTGTTCATGTCAGAGATGGTCCCTGGTCCTGTAATTGGGGAACCCTCTTGGATACTGAGCTGCCTTGGGCTACTTCTGTACAAGGGTTTGAAGTTATCTCCATGCATGGAGATATCAGTCTTGGAGTCTTGTTTGGAGTATCAGTCTCAGAAAAGACCCCTCGGGCCCAGATTTTTTGGTTCTGTTGCTCCCCTCGTGGAGCTCCTGTTCCTTCCATGTCTTTTTATCTCCTCCTTCTTTTGTAAGATTCCCTGCATTCTGTCCAGAGTTTGGCTATGAATCTCAGCATATGTTTTGATACCCTGCTGGGTGGAGTCTTTCAGAGGCCCTCTGTGATAGGCTCCTGTCCTGTTCCCTGTTTTCTCCCTCTTCTGATGCCTGTCTCCTTGGCCTTTCTGAATGAAGATTGAGCATCTTAATCCAGGGTCCTACTTCTTGATTAGCTTCATTAGATGTACAGATTTTAGCATGCTTATCTTATATTATATGTCTAATATCCACTTATGAGTGAGTATATACCATGTGTGTTTTTCTGCTTCTGGGATACCTCACTCAGGGTGATCTTTTCTAGTTCCCACCACATATCTGCAAATTTCATGATTTCCTTGTTTTTAATTGCTGAGTAGTATTCCATTGTGTAAAAGTACCACAATTTCTGTATCCATTCCTACATAGAGTAATATCTGGGTTGTTTCCAGATTCTGGCTCTTATGAATAAAGCTGCTACGAACATGGTTGAACAAATGTCCTTGTTGTGTACTTGAGCATATTTTGGATATATCCCTAGGTGTGTGATACTTTTTAATTCAAAGATAAAAAAAGCTGGCAAGAGAATGCAAACGACAACAGAAAGAAAAGGGTACAGTGAAATAAACAAAAGTAGTCTTTAAGATGAAAACTTCTCTCTTCTACATCACAAAGCCTAAGACTCGATATCACTTGTTAAGGACACTAATACTATTCACCCAGCCTTTTGATATCACTTAAATTGTGCTTCCTAGCGGCTATAGCTTCTCAAAAGATTGAAGCTAGACATTGAGTTTGAATTTAGAAAAGGAAAAAATTCAATCTAAAGCCATCAGCATGCAGTTAGATTAGATAATACTCATGAAGGGCATTTTTATAGGAAATCACAAACTGACAAAACTAAAAATAGAGACACTGGATAGAACTAAACAACTAAAAAGATTAAAATTAGCACTTTATTTTTTTCCCAAAAAAACAAAATCTCATTTCAATATGTTCTCACTGGTAAATGTTATAGAAGACTTAAAAGAAAATACTAATCTTTGGTAAACTGTTGTAGAAAATTTTAAAAATCCAACTAATTCTGTGAAGGTTCTATTACACTGATAACTGGGTCTGATAAAATGTCATTTAAAAAACCACACAAAAATATCCTTTTAAAATACAGATACAAAAAAAGAAAAGCAAACAAACAAACAAAAAAACACCCAAAGTACAAAACCAAACCAAATCTGCTAATATAAAAATTTTTCACAAGAATGACTTGTCCTCAGAAGGATGTGGGCTAGTTAGTTGTAATTAAGGAGCCTACCACTGAGGGTCTCTGAAAGACTGTACTCAGCGGTGTATTAAAGCAGATGCTGAGACTCATAGACTAACTTTCGACAGTGTGCAGGGAATCTTAGGAAAGAAGGGAGAGATAGTAAGACCTGGAGAGGACAGGAGCTCCACAAACATAGCAACACAATCAAAATATCTGTTCACAGTTTTTTGTTTTTTTTTTCTCAAGGACCATTCATGGATATAACCAAGAACCCCTTTACAGATGTAGCCCATGGCAGCTCAGTATCCAAGTGGGTTCCCTAGTGAGGGGAACAGGGACTGTCTCTGACCTGAACTCAGTGGCTAGCATTTTGACCGCTTCCCCTGGATGGGGGAGCAGCCTTGCCAAGCCAAAGATGAGGACAATGCAGCCAGTTCAGATGAGACCTGATAAGCTAGGTTCAGATGGAAGGGGAAGAGGACCTCTCCTATCCATGGACTTGGAAAGGGGCATAGGAGGAGATGAGGGAGGGAAGGTGAGATTGGGAAGGGAAGAAGGAGGGGGCTACAGCTTAGATACAAAGTGAATAAACTGTAATTAATATAAAAAATAAAAATTTAATTAAAAAAGAAAAATAGAGACTTTTTAATCCCAGGTTTCTGAAATTCAGGCTAAAGTGCCACATGTCCACGGTCATCAAGCCTGCCACTGAGTGACTGACTCTGAATTCTTTGTCTTGTGAACTTGAGAAATGAATTTTCTAACAACAGTTTTAAAAGGATTTTCCCTGAGAGTAAACGCTTTTAAAAGAAGGATTAATTGCAGAGTGAATGCAAACAAGCTACTGTAGGAGAGGCTTCCCAAGAAAGGGTTTTCTCTGAGGAGCTTTCTCTGTCGTTTCAGATGGCTTTTTAATTTCTTTTTTTAATTTATTATTTACTGAAATGTAATCACTACGTGTCCCTCCTCTCCTCCTAATCCCATCCTTCCTTCCTCTTCTCCTAGTCCACTTATAGGGGAGGACTTCCTTCCCTTCTATCTGACCCTAGCCTATCAGGTCTATTAGGGCTGGCTGCATTATCTCTCTCTGTGGCCTGGCTAGGCTGCATCCTCTCAGGGGGAGATGATCAAAGAGGGAGCCACTGAGTTCATCTCAGGGACAGCACCTGATTCCCTTACTAGGGCACCCACTTGGAAACAGAGCAGCCATAGGCTGCATCTAAGCAGGGGTCAAGGTCCTTGGTTTTGAGTATCAGTCTCTGCAAAGAACCTTGGGCCTAGATTTTTTGGTTCTGTTGATCTCCTTGTGAACCTCCTGTCCCCTCCAGGATTTTCTGTCTGCCCCTTCTTTCATAAGATTCCCTGCACTCTGCCCAAAGTTTCATTATGAGTCTCAGCATCTGCTTTGATACACTTCTGGGTAGAGTCTTTCAGGGGCCCTCTATGACAGGCTCCTCTCCTGTTTCCTGTTTTCTCCTTCTTCCAATGTCCATCCTGTTTGTCTTTCTGAGTGATGATTGATAATCTTACCCAGGGTCCTCCTTCTTGCTTATCTTTTTTTGGTGTACAGATTTTAGATTGTTTATCCTATATTGTATGTCTAATATCCACTTATAAGAGAGTATATACTGTGTGTGTCTTTCTGCTCCCGGGATACCTCACTCAGGATGATCTTTTCTAGTTCCCACCATTTTCCTGCAAACTTCATGTTTTCCTTGTTTTTAGTTGCTGAGTAGTATTCCACTGTGTAAATGCGTCACAATTTCTGTATCCATTCCTCAACTGAGGGACATCTGGGTTCTTTCCAGATTCTGGATATCCCAAATAAAGTTACTACAAACATTGTTGAGCAAATTTCCTTATTGTGTACTTGAGCATCTTTTGGATAAATGCTTGGGAATGGTGTAGCTGCATCTTGAGGTAACACTATTCCTAATTATCTGAGAAAATACCAGATTGATTTCCAAAGTGGTTGTACAAGTTTACATTCCCACCAGCAAGGGAAGAGGGTTCCCCTTTCTCCACATTCTCTCCAACATGTATTGTCACTTGAGTTTTGGATCTTAGCCATTCTGATGGGTGTAAGATAAAATCTCAGGTTCATTTTGATTTGTATTTCCCTGATGACTAAGGGCTTGAGCATTTATTTGTTTCTCTGCCTTTCTATATTCCTCTACAGAGAATTCTCTGTTTACCTCTGTATCCCATTTTTAATTGGATTACTTGATTTGTTGCTTTTTAACTTCTTGAGTTCTTTATATATTATGGATATTAGTCCTCTGTCAGATTTAGGGTTGGTGAAGGTTCTTTCCCAGTCTGTAGGCTGTCGTTTTGTTCTGATGACAGCGTCGTTTGCTTTACAAATCTTTTCAGTTTTGTGAGTTCCAGTTTATTGATTTTTGATCTTAGAGCCTGTTCTTTTGTTGTTCTGTTCAGGAAGTTCTCTCCTGTGCAAATTAATGTCCCCCTTTTCATTTCTGGTTTTGCTGATTTGGACAGTTTCTCTCTGCCTTTTAGTTAGTTTGGCTAAGGGTTTGTCTATCCTGTCGATTTTCTCAAAGAGCCAGCTCTTGGTTTCATTGATCCTTTGAATTGTTCTCTTTGTTTATAATTTATTTCTGCTCTGAGTTTGATCATTTTCAATCATATACTCCTCTTGGGTTTCTCTACTTCTCCCCCCTGTCTAGGGCTTTTAGATGTGTTTTGAAGTTGTCTGTAAGAAATATTTCATCTTCCTCCTCTGCACGTCGCACGCCACGGTCATCATGAATGACACAGTGACCATCCGGACCAGGAAGTTCATGACAAACCGTCTGCTTCAGAGGAAACAGATGGTCATCGATGTTCTTCACCCTGGAAAGGCAACAGTACCAAAGACAGAAATTCGGGAAAAGCTGGCCAAAATGTACAAAACCACACCAGATGTCATCTTTGTATTTGGATTCAGAACCCACTTTGGTGGTGGCAAGACAACTGGCTTTGGCATGATCTATGATTCTTTAGATTATGCAAAGAAGAATGAGCCTAAGCACAGACTTGCAAGACATGGCCTTTATGAAAAGAAAAAGACCTCCCATAAACAACGAAAGGAACGCAAGAACAGAATGAAGAAGGTCAGGGGGACTGCGAAGGCCAACGTTGGTGCTGGCAAAAAGTGAGTGGAGATTGGAGACAGCCAAAGGAGTAGATCTGCGGTGACTTGATCTGCTGTGATGTGCACATTTCTGAGAGGACAAATAAACTAAAAAGCTTAAAAAAAAAAAAAGAAAAGAAATATTTCAAACTTTTTTTCTGAAGGCACTTAGTGCTATGAACTTTCCTCTTAGCACTGCTTTCACTGTGTTCCATCAGTATGGGTAAGTTGTGCCTTCATTTTCATTGACTTTTAGGAGGTCTCTAATTTCTTTTTTTATGTCTTCCATGACCCAACTGTCATTGAATAGAGAGTTGTTTAGTTTCCATGAGTGTGTGGGGTTTTCTTATTTCTGTTGTTTTTGAGGTCTAATTTTAGGCCATGGTGATCTGATAGGATACAAGTGATTATTTCAGTCTTCTTGTATCTGTTGAGGCTTGCTTCGTGCTTGACTAGATGGTCAATTTTGTAGAGGTCCTGAGAAGAGAGTATACTCTTTCTGGTTTGGGTGAATAGTTATGTAGACATCTATTAGGTCTGTTTGATTTAGGACCTCTGTAAGTGTCATTATTTCCCTATTTCCTGTCTCAATGATCCGTCCCTTGGTGAGAGTGGAGTTTTGAAGGCTCCCATTATTAATGTGTTGGGATCGATGTGCAAATTAAGCTTTAATAATGTTTCATTTATGAATGCAGGTGCCCTTTTGGGGGGGCATAGATGTTCAGGATTGTGATGTGGATTTTTCCTTTGATGAGAATGAAGTGTCCCTCCTCATCTTTTTTGAATAATTGTGGTTGAAAGTCTCTTTTATTATTAGGATGGTGACTCCAGCCATTTTTCTGGCTCTGTTTACTTAAGAAGCCTTTTTCCAGCCCTTTACTCTGAGGTAGTGTTTATTTTTGTTGTAGAGGTATTTCTTGAATGCAGTAGAAGGTTGGATCCTATTTCCACAACCATTCTGTTACCTTGTGTCTTTTTATTGGAAAGTTGAGTCCATTGATGTTAATAGATAGATAATAGTGACCAATGAATATTAGTTCCTTTCATTGTGGAGTTTGTGGTGATAGTGTGTTTGTGTACCTGTTTTCTTTCAATTTTTTTGTTGTGATGTTATCTATATCTGTGTTTTCTTGGGTGAAGTTGATTTTGTTAGCTTGTAGTTTTCCTTTTAGTATCATCTGGCTGGGTTGCTGTGTAGATATTTTTAAGTTTAGTTTTGTCATGGAATATTTTGTTTTCTCCTCTATGTTGACTGAAAGTTTTGCTGGGTATAGTCATCTGGGTTAACGTCTGTGCTCTCTTAGAGTGTGTAATGAAATATGCCCAGGCCCTTCTGGCTTTCATGGTTTCTGTTGAGAAGTCTGTTGTGATTTCCATAGATCTAACTTTATATATTACTTGGCCTTCTTCCCTTGGTTATTTTCTTTGTTCTGTAGATTTAGTGTTTTGACTCTTATGTGAGATGAGGAGTTTCTTTTTTGGTCAAGACTATTTGGTGTTCTGTAAGCCTCTTGTGTATTTACAGACATCTCTTTCTTTAAGTTGGGAAAATTTTCTTCTATGATTTTCTTGAAAATATGTTCTGGCACTAGAAGCCTATGCCAGAAGGCTTTTTCATCTTTTTCATCTATTCCAATTATTCTTAGGTTTTGTCTTTTCATCGTGTCCTTGATTTCTTGCATGTCTTTACTCGGAACTTCTCTGATTTTATGTCTTTATTGAGAGTTGTATTGATTTCTTCAATTGTGTCTTCACTCCTCAGATTCTTTCCTCCATATCTTGAATTCTGTTGGTGATGTTTACCTCTGTGGTTTCTGATCACTTCTCTCGAATTTTGATCTCCTGGAGTTTCTCAGTGTATGTTTTCTTTATTGATTCTAATTCTGTTTTCATGTCTTGCACTATTTCCATCATCTGTTTGTATTTGGCTTCTTGTCTGTCCATGATAACTTCTATTTTTTTGTTTATTTCCTATTTATATGCCTCTCTTTGTTTGCCTGTATTTCTTTGAGAGCTTTGTTTCCTCTTTATGTGTCTCTAATAACTGGATAAGCATAGATTTTAGATAATTTTTCTGTGTTTCTTATGAATTAAAATTTCCATTGATGTTGGGGGTTGCTGGTGAAGCCATGATGTCCTGATTTTTGTTGGATATGTTCTTATGCAAGCCTCCAGCCATCTGATTGTCTATAGCCTTAGCTGTTTGTTTCTGGAGCCTGTACTTCAGACTGGGTCTATCTGTATCTGGAGCCTAGAGTGTTCTTCAGGAAGATGAGAGAGTTCCATCAGTTCGAAAGTGGATATTGATGTTTCAGATGTAGCTAAGAGGTAGCAGGTACATGTGCATATGCGTGGGAGTGTTCATGCAAGCATGCCTTGAATGACTTGTTGCTAGCAAGTGTAGCTGCCTGGAAGGACGGAGTGTAAGTACAGGTGTGGGTGCTGGTTCGGTTCCTGGTCTCAGTGCACATATGCACATGCCGTGAATGGCTCAGTGGCTTACAGGCCTGTAGTACTGTGTTCCAGGCACTCAGATTTGTCTGGGCTGCACCATCTTGGCTCCAGGAATTGTTTGTCTGAACTCCACTGGGAGAGCCACAGAACAGGGCCTTCAATGTTTCAAATGCTGTCCCAGGGATCCCTATGTTGCTCACAGAAAGGGTGTTGGTGGGAGGGATCTTATGTCTGGCTGCTAGCTTAGAGGGACCCACAATCTGGGGCTCTGCAGGTACTTGCTAGAAGGTGCACTCACGTGCAGGTGTAAGCGGAAAGCACAGAGTATCTAGGGTTCTCTACTCTCAGATTTGTGCCCACAGGGGCAAGTGAAAGTGTAGAAGATCTGCTAGTGGTATCCACTGTTTAGCCGTTAGAGCAGGGAGGCCCGTACTTGGGGCAGCCACAGCCACCTCAGCTGTCTCAGCTGCAGACAGCTTAAGAAAGTAACTTGGTATTTCAAACAACTAACTAAGCTGAAATAAGGAGAGGTGAATGGCTAGTCCAGCTGGTCCAACCATAGATCTCCATGAAGTATCCACTGACATCTCCATCCCAGTGGCAGAGTAGGATTCTGGTGCACACCCGAGGACCAATGAAGTATTTGTTCACACATAGCTTCCAGGCAACAGTGCTCATTAGGTTGCTATGCTAAGGAAGGAAAAAAAAAGTGTATCTAATACATGCATTTCTGGCTAATGGTCAGGGCAAAAACTGCATACAGGACCAATGACACTTCAAGCCAGATCAGAACTGATTGTCAAAGACAAGAAGCAGGGCTGCTGGTTATGAAAATCTAACTGCCTGACCGATTTCCTCTACTTTCATCAAAAGCAGATTGGTCTCAAAATCAATATTTTAATATAATGAAATGAAAATGATGTTTTTGCCATTAGATTTAAGGAAAGCATGTGACAAAATGCAATGCTATGTACAACAAAAGCTTGGAGTAAACATAACTGTTAGAAGGAAAATTCCTCAAGCTTATAAAGCACTTGAAAAAATTCATAACTAACATCATACTTAGTTATGAAATGTTGAGTGTTTTACAAGAAGGGGCTCCCTAAAGTAAGATTTCAGCTTTCACTATTTTCTAGTGAATATTGCTCCATGGAAACATGGAAAATTAGTTTTAAAAAGTGAAAAGATACACAATGTGGAAAGAAAAAAATAAAGCATCTCTCTATGTAACTATTGTGTAGCTCTTTCCTCTTAATTGAAACCTTCCTTCCTGAAGGGAGGAAGGAAGTTTATTAGAATTAGGAAGTAAATGAAATAAGACTCAGGATGTTGTTGACCCTTGATTAACAAACCCAGTCCAGAAGGTTATGTCAGCAGTAACAATTGATGAGAAGACAAGAGATTCCAATCAGTGGAACTATTGGCAAGTTGGGCTTGAATCTCTGGGGATCCAGCTTTCTTTAACCATCATTTATGCATTTATGACAAGAGACAGTGAGTGAGAAATCCTCCTTCTCTTCCAAGGCCTCTGGTAGGTGATGGGAGTGGGGAATGGTGTTTTAATTTCCAAAAATAAATAAATAAACAAACAAACAAACAAATACATAAAAAATAAACAGAAAGAAAATGGAGAGAAGCTAAGTTATTAAGCTTCAATTTTTGTGACAATCTTTGTGCTTGGTGGCTAAAAAAAGACCTATACAAACCTATGCATAAGGGATTATCAGAAGTAGGATGGATTACCTAGAGAGATGAAAGTTAGTGTGCGGTGAGGGGGGGGGAAGCAATGGCATATGTGCATATTCATTTGTGTGGGAAGCATATGTCTAGAGAGAGCACTCTCCCCTTCTAGTAAGTGTACTACATTATCAAAGTAGTACTGCTTTCCAAAAGCAGGTTTTGAGTAGGAAGGGAGATTTATAAAAACATACACAAAGAAAATTTATAAGCTGGATGCGTACAGTGCAAAGAAAAGAACCTGGATAACCAAGAGAACCACTGATCTGGCAAGAAATTAGTCTAATCTGAAAGACATAATGTTGAGGTTAGTTGTTTTGGTCCTGTTTGAATACCATCTGGCTTAACCAGATACCATAAGGCAATCTTTATATAGACCTTATCCCTGAGGTCTATATAAAAATTCCTGAAGGACTTCTTAAAAGTGGTAGCTCAGTGACCAATTGGTTTCCCATAGTAAGGGGAACAAGGATTGTTTCTAACAGGAACTCAATGGCTGGCTCGACCTCCCCATCCCCAAGGGAGGAGCAGTCCTGTTAGGCCACAGAGGAGGACTTTGCAGCCAGTCCTGAAGATACCTGATAAAACAGGATCAGATGAATGGAGAGGAGGCCCCCCCATCAGTGGACTTGGAAAAGGGCAGGGTGGAGATGAGGGAGAGAGAGTGGGATTGGGAGGGAATTAAGGAGTGGGATACGGCTGGGATACAGAGTTAATAAAATGTAACTGATAAGAAAAAAATAAAATTAAAAAAATAAATGATAAAAATAATTCCACAGGCAGCTTAAAAATTTTCTTGAGTGACAGTTATGTGCATTATTTTCTAACTAAAGTCTATGTGCAATAATTAAGAGGAACTATAAAGACAGTAAGTGGACTTTTGAAATTTGTTTCCAGTTCTTCATTCCTACCTATCTGAAGGGAATTCAAGCTTG